CCGTTGCTTCCTGGAGAGGGGGGAGGATATACCCAGAACCACCCGCGACAATGTTTTTGGCCCCATCAGGCATTGGGATCTCAACCCAGAATTCCAATGGGCGGAGGAGACTGCGGGAACTATGGGATAGCTATGGGATAGCTACCCACAGTGCAACGCTCCAGAAATCGACGCTAGCCCCGGTACATGGACGCACACTGCCGAATTAATGTGCTTAGTGTGGCTGCATACATTCGACTTTATACAATCTGTTTTCCAAATTCGAATTATATAAATTCGGATTAATCCCGTAGTGTAGACATACCCAAAGAAAGAACCTTGATGATGTTCAGCAAAGAAACTCTTCTGAATGCAACCGTAATGCAGTCCTGTCTCCTGAGTCTGTAGAAGGACAGTCTGAAATAACGGCTGAGGTGTAAACTGCTACATTGGTCTTAATAGTAAGTTAACTCTGAATCCTAGCTTCTAAATGTCAACCCAAACTACTTCACTGCTGCTCATTCATCTTGGACTATCCTGTATGCAAGGTCATTGTGGAAGCTTGTGACTCAAAGTAAAGATTTAATCTATCCCACATGGGAAAATGTTAGATGCTTACCAATTTCAAGTCACTTAATTCTTTATCGGACACTACTTGCTCTGTTTCCAGAGCAAAACTACTTGCCACTAGGAGTTAATCTCCCACATTAAAGTTAAATATGTTGCTGGAGAGTGGGGTGGTAAATTTACTTTTCATTAGAACCTTAGTTGCAACCTTAACTCTGCTTAGACATTACTGGTGTGTCCATATTACGCAGCACATGTGCAAGTCCTCTTTTTTTCTAGTACCAGTTTCTTGGCCATTGGGGGAACCTGTAACTAGAGTTGGTAGGAAAAGAGAATTTCTGTTCCATAAAAGATTCCAACATTTTTTATTTTTTGTTCCAAATTGAAACAAAAAGCTGAAATGTCCCAGGGAACAAATTCCAAAAAAAAAAATTCAGTTTAGGACTATCAGATGTTTTGATAAGGTAAAAATGCTTTGTTTCAGTAATGCCAATGCATAATATAAAATGTTAAATATAATATCCAATATTTTAATACAACAAAGATGACTTGTTGCTATTTTCCAGTCAACTCTTGTCAACTGACTCATTCCCTTGAAACATTTCAGTTTAGACAAAACTGCATTTTCCAACAGGATTATTCCATCGGAAACTTTGACCAACTCTACTCATATCCCTTCTACCCATGAGGTTGACATCAGTATTAGTAAATGGTACTGATTGACTCTGTGGAGCCTTTAACATCTCTGAAGTGAGAGAGCCAATGGCTTTCAATGAGACTTTATTTTAGTATCTCAGGCCAAACTATTGCTCAGTGTCATTGATGGAGTTCAAGAAAGACCCAAAACAAAGGAGGCATAGGCAAGGGAGAAGGAATGGCTCCTTCTCAGACTGGAAAAGAGCTGTTGATCAAAATGGAGATACCAGGAGAGACCTTTCTTAGCAGCAGCAGGATTATGAGAAGGGAGAGAGGTCAGTGTGAGATGAGTGGAATAGAACTTCTGAGGCTGGCTTGCAACAAATCTGAGCATTTTTAAAAAAGGAGGAGGGAATCTTGACTCAAGATCCTGGAATACTGAAATTTGAGTGTCATGGGATCACCTCTCTTTATGTGCAATAAGGTGGCTGGCAGGATTCTACATACTAGGGATTGGAGAGCTGGGCTATAGAGAAAGCAGTGGCGAAAGGCAAGAGGCAACTGACAGAGTGCTGACACTGTAATGACAGAAAGCAGTCTTGCAGAGGTGGTAGGAAGAGAGATCGTAATCCAGCATTATGGTTAGCACCAGCTTAGAGTACTGAGTTAAGGCGGTATAGAGATGGAGGCAATAACTGTGATGCACTTCCCCAGAAAGTGCGGGGAATACCAGCTTACTAAACACCGTCAGCTGGTGAGTAGGATTCAATGGCCCTTCTTTAATTCCACTTTCATGGCCTTTAGCTCACTTGGATTCCACACATACCCAGGTCACATTCCTTTCCTTTCCGATTGGCTTTTGGTTGCAGTGCATGCAAATCACAGAGGAGGAAAGGCCTCCCCTTCTTAAAAGGGGGAGATCAGGAGTGGCCAGAGTTAGTCAAGACTGAGCAACATTAAAGCAGTTGTGTTTCCAAGGAGTCTTCTAGTGTGGGACTGGCTGATTCTTCATGGAGACAAGTGAGTAAGGAGGCAGATTTGGGTCAAGTAATTTATAAGTGAGGAAATGGTGGAACTGAGGCAGATGTACTTTATGCAAAGGGTAATAACCGACAGTTAATGGGAGCACGGTAGCAATAGGAATGCGGGAATCCAAGAATTCCTTCTGGAGCAGGTGACTAAGATCTTGGGATGGGTCCTCTTTAACTCTCCAGTTGTGGGGCAAAGTTTGCTTTCCCTGCTTGCTGAACTTCTTCTCCTAGAGCCAAACATCTCCTGGGCAAGCAGACACGTAGGAATTGCTAATTCCATGCACTTCCTGATTCCCCTGATTGCCCATGAAGAACAGGGTTAGATGTTTAGTGTCCAGAAAAGAAAGGTGAGGAGAGTGATGTTTGTTGGCTTAAATGAGCGGCCAGTTCTGTTAATGAACTACCACCTGTCAACACATGAGGGAGCTCTTACCGCTAGAAAGGAACATGGTGCACTGCACGGGACTGAAAGGCATAGAGGTCTGTGGTTCCCATGCAGAATATGAGGTGAGCAAATGCGTACTCAAGAATTTAGCTGTGAATTGTGCGAGGGTAGGGGAGTGAATGTCGTAGTGTTCATGTACAAACTGCTCACTATTTGGTCTTCCTTGGGCCAGGATTATTCATTTGGAACAAAAACATATAACACTGGGCACCTAATTAATTGCTAGCATAATCCCTCCCTGGTAGAGTTCCACCCTGGAGGGCTAGGTGTCTTTCATCCTAAGGGGCTTTACAAACTGGAAGTGACTTCTGTCAGCTTCTAAATCTGCTTCTGAAATGCAGCCACTGTGGAGCTGAAACGGGACCGATGGTGCAGTACTGCACAAGAGTTTAGGACTGGAAGGGAAGGAGAGTCTTGTGTCTGTTTAAAAGACCAGGGGCCATTTAGTCAGATACTAAGTCAAATTCAGGCCTAGTGTGAATGAGTATGTGCAGTGGCTTTGAGCTGTTTACTGTTAATCACGGGTCTGATGTGGCTGTCCTGTTATTTCCGGCCTTGTCTTGGGGTCACTGCTCTTTGTAAACTTCTGCTGGCTGAAATGATGACATTGGTAGACAGGCCAAGTGCACGTGCATCTGAAGGACAAATTCCCCTCTATCCCCACAAGCAGGCCTGCTGCTTGCTGACTTCCTACCCTTACTTTCCCCATACAGCCATAGTGAGCCTGAATATTCAAGGCATTCATCCTCTCCTGAGGCAAACCTGTAGGCCGGTGAGTGAGAACTCTCCTTATTTGCAGAGAAACGTGTGCCCTATTTATATTCCCACCTTCCTTTCAGCTGCCAAAACCTTCCCATCCACACCTGTGACCCTATCCCTCATTAGCCACATGACAGGGGTCACTCTGAGACAGGGCGCTGGAACAATTTGTATAGTGGGGGTGCTGAGAACCATTAAAGCAAACTGTAAACCTTGGATATAATGGAAACCATTTCAAGCCAGGGGGTGCAGCACCCCCTGCACCACTAGTTCTAGCACCTATGCTCTGAGAATCTGGTCAGATGGGGGAATCAGTGCTTCCGTTGGAAATAAAATCCAAAGCAAAACTTTCTGTACACACGCAATGCCACTGCTGCTCTTCCAGGCACAGCATCACAAGGAAAGGGATGAGTACTGGGGTTTGTCTACCTAAGTCTTACTAGTTAAAATAAAGGGGTGATTTAAACCAGCTTAGTTAAACCAGTGCAGACCGCTGTACGAACCCTCTTATTTTGGGCAAAGAGTGGCTTATATTGGTTTTGTTTGAACAGACCCCTTATTGACTAAAATTAAGGCCCTATCTACACTTAAAACTTGTTGGTCAGAGGGTTGAAAAAAATCAAACCCAAATCCACTCCCCTCTGTGACCTAGCTGACAAAACCCCCAGTGTAGTGCAGCTGGGCTGGCATAAGAGGATTCTGCTTGTTGCCATAGCTCACACTGTTCTGGGAGGTGGTGTTCCTAGACCCACTGAATTCCCTCTTCTGTTGGTGTATGTGTGCCTACATGGTAGGGCTATACTGGCAGAGATGTATGGTAGATATAGCCTTGGTCAAAGTGAAATAGAGATTAATTCAAACAAAAGCAGAATAAGCCACTCTTAACCCAGAACAAGAGGATCTGAACAGGGGCGTGTGCTGGTTTAACTAAACTGGCTTAAAGTGCCACCTTTAATTAAAGGGATGCATCTTGCTTTAGGTTTAGGCTGTTTCATTTCAAGTATGCGTGGGCACCCGTTTTCGGAAGAGGGCCCCCTGTGTGAAATAAGTGCCCACACAGATGAGAACTGCACCACCTAGGGTGGGAATTTAAACCAGCTGAGTCGCCTTGGTTCCCCTCACTGTACAGACAAGGTCTCAGGAACATCGCTGATGGCAAAGGCTGGGATCTGCCCACTTTGGGGAAGTCAGGAAGGGAGCCCTGGGGGCCCAGCCCGGCTGCGATACCAGGGTAGTGCCAGGCCCTGGTCTGTTGGTTCGCCAGGGGCAGTTTGAGGCTCCGTGCTGCGGAGGGAGGCAGGGAGGATCGGCGGCCCTGCCTGCAGGGAGTGCGCAGGGGGCCGGACGGGGCTGGGAGCGGGGCACTGAGGCAGCGAGTGGAGCGTGGCTGGCTGGGGGTGGGAGCGTTAGGGGGGTGGGCCGGGAGAGGAGCCGGTAGTGGCGCTCTGCAGTGTAGGCGCAGAGCGCAGCGGCCGCGCTCGCAGGGAAGGAGCCGGCGCCCAGGCGGTTCTGCCCCGGAGGGGACCGCGGCTGCAGCCGGCCTCGGCCAAGGCGGGGCGGGTGCAGCGAGGGGAGGGCGGCAGCCCCCGGCGCTGACTCGCGGCGGAAGTGGCCAGAGGAGGAAATTCCCACTCGGCTGCCGGCTGCAGCCAGTGTCCTGTCCCGCGGCCGCAGCTCCCCAGCGCCCCGGCCAGGAGCCGCTGCCGGGGATGTGAAGGCGCCCAACCCCCGGATCATGGCCAGCCCAGGTAGGTTCCCCGCACGGCCACCCCTGCGGCTCGGATCCCCGCAGAGCCCCACCGGGCGCCGCGCCCCCAGCCCGGACCATGCCGGGGTCCCTCCCCGGGCGCGCTCGCCTCTCGCCCCCCCGCGTCCGCGGCCTTCCCTGCCCCCCGCTCGGGGGCGCTCGCTGCGCAGAGGGAGCCGCCTGTCACTGCCCGGGCTTTCTAAGACCGTCGCCCCCCACGTGCCCGCTAGCGGGAAAGCGGGGGGCGATGGCTGTGTAGGTTCCCCGCGGTGAGACCCTTGTGTGAGCGCTGGGCATCCCAGTCTCTAGAGAATAGCTGGCTGTGCCCAGACTGGCCGCTGCACCTGCTGCCTTCCGGCCAGCCTCTGTGCCCCAGGGAACTGCTGCTTGCAAGCCAGTGCCAGTGGCTGCTTCATCCCATGGCTCTTCCCCGCCTGGGGTGAGCTGATGGCCCCTGGCCACCAGTGCTCTTCAAAGTGGGCCCCCTGGCCACAGGACCCAGCTGGCAATGCTGTTGGAGTCCGAGGCCATGAGTTAGGTCATGCAGGGTGAGTGAACTCCATCTCTGCACCCAAAAGGTCCAATGGCTAGCACTCAGCCCTTGCCTATTGTCTAGTTGCCCCCCGACCTCTGTGGATTGACCGTGGGACTCGACACCTGGGATGCTGTGAAGGTCAAAACTATAACTGGGTTCAAGAAAGAATGAGATAAGTTCACGGAGGATAGGTCCATCAGTGGCTGTTAGCCAACACGGTCAGGGATGCAACCCCATGCTCTGGGTGCCCCTAATACTCTGACTGCCAGAAGCTGGGACTGGGTGACAGGGGACGGATTGAAATTGCCTTGTTCTGTTCATGCTCTCGGAAGCATCTGGCATGTGCCACGAGGCTAGATAGACCATTGGTCTGACCCAGTATAGCCATGCTTATGTTAAGCAGTCTCATTGCATGCCACAGTTAATGCTATCCAAAGGGAAGGAATGGAAGGAGCAATTCATGTGGGGCACCGCTAGGAACAGCACCTATTGGATATTGCCTTGGGGAAGAAACCTAACTGTAACTCTTTCTCAGGCTACGTCTTCACTTCCAAAAAGTTTGCACAGCAAGATAAGTGCAGGTTATTAGCTAGGTCACTGTAATCCTGCCTCCTCTTCCCCGGCCTTTTCGAGCATGTCTACACTGCACACTAAACCCAGACTCTTACTCAGGTTTGAGCCCAAGCTCCCTTTTCATCCACATACAAATCAGTCTGACTCGGGTCGGCTGGCACTCAGGACCTGGGTCCAAGGACCCTGCTAGGGGGTGGGTCAGAGCCCGAGTCCTGCTCAGACTCATGTCCAAGTCCTGTTATTTTGTAGTGTGGATGCAGCTCAAGCCACAGCCCTGAAACATCCATGTAGTGCAGCATGGATGCGTTAGCATGGCTGTGAGGCTCAAGCCCGGCAATTGTAAGCCCAGATTTACATTCAATGTGAAACATCAAGTCCACAAGCCTGGGTCTGTGGTTACAATTGAGTGTAGAGAACCTGCAGTGAAGACCTACCCTTAGGCTATAGCTATGCTGAAGTTAGAGGCTGCAGTGCAGGTAGGCAGACCTGTACTAGCTTTAATCTTGCTAGCACTGCTAAAAATTGCACTCAGACATGGCAGTATGGACCCCAGCAGGGGCTAGCAATGTGAGTACTTACCCAGGGTTCCAGGCAAGCTTCTACAGGTTGCTCTGAAGCCTGTTCTGCCAGACCTGCTATTTTAGCTGTGCTAGCTAGATTAAAGCTAGTGCTGTGTGAGCATGCCTATCCTGACTCTGACTGCAGTGTAGACATACCCTAGGGCCTACGCGGGGTTAATGTGTATCACCCAGAATGAGTTAATTCATATTGATATGGGTAAGATGGAATGGTACCCATGGTGCAGTGTTTGTTTCCTCCACAGCATTACATGGGGGAGTGCAGTGTGTTGGGGGCACATCCCGTTCTTCCCTGTGGAATTGGGCAGGAGGGTTCCACCCCATAATCCATGGGGGGTCCTCAGGATCTATCTTGCAACACTCATAGATGGCCCAGGCCTTCACAAAGCTCCCTGGGCTCCTCCATGGCAGCCTGCTTCCCTCAGGCTGATGTCATGGGGCTATGCAATTTTTGCTAGCAGAAGCAATATTCACCCTGCTGCATCCCACTCTGAATATGGCTGGTGGGGAGAGGAGAGGTGCATAGTGCTGACTCAACGCTCCTAACGTCTGGGCATACTTCAAAGTGGAAAATCACCCAGGCAACACATCCATCCCCTTGCTTTGTCTCCCACAGTGCCCAGCCACATGGCAGGGTCTTCCATGGTTTCTTGATAAGCTTTCAGTGCCCATTATATGCCACTCTACTCCCATCCACGTGGCTGCCTTGTCTGTCATGATCCTCTGCACCAAACAGCTCAAGGTAGCCTATAACCTATCATAGGCTGTGGTAGAAAAAAACGGATATCTCTCTCGGTAAGAAGTCCATGGCTAAAATTTAATGTCATTGGCTTAGGGCCTTTGACTCCAATGGGAACAGGATCTGGTCTTTGTTGTGTAAGCCTTCATTGCTGGCACTGAATGTGCAAGTTCCCCTTATTGCATTTGCAGGGGAAATTACGTGTTTGCGCTTTTTCTCTTTCTCTAAAAGGGGAAAAAACGTGCCATCTTAATGGTGTGAAGCAACTTTAGCGTTTCACTGATGCATGTCTCCTTGTGATGTAAAAATAATTCAGACTGAGGTCTCAAGGGACAGGCAGGCAGATACCAAAAATTACTTTCTCTTCATTAAACAAAATCTTGTTCTAAGTGGCAAGCAGAACTGCGTTAGGATCACACACTATCTAATGCAAATCTTGTGTTCTTATCACTGAGAGATGATCTTGCTCACAAGGTTTTTATCTGGTTATTTTTTCAGCTATTTCCCCTTATTTTGCTTGTGACACTTTAAATAAAGTGCTGGTTTCCGGGTGCAGTAAACCTGGGAGCCTTTGATAACATGTTAGTTAATAATTATTGAGGCGATTAGGTTGTTGCTTTGTTACACAGTTCAGCTAGAGAATGCATGCTTAGGATTCCTGTATAACTTGCATGCATGAAGGATTCCTGTATAACTTAAACCCAATAGGCCTGGGAGGTGCTGAGCACCTTAATTCCCATTGACTCACTGGGAGATGAGGGTAGTCAGCATCTCTTGGAAATGCTATCACTCTGAAGGATTCAGACCTATTCATATTAATGTAGTCTTTATATAATATATGCTGTGGCTTCACTTGAAGTCACTGGCTATTCTCTTCAACAGGAGGAAAATTGGATCCTCTATCAAATACCAATATTTGATTCCCTGGAAAATATAATGGTTTTATTTATGCTTTCCATCCAGACAGATCCCAGAGCACGTCATCGACTGATAGTACATATGATGGGCCAAATGCAGCCATTGCTCTAGCTCCACTGAAATTAGTCAACTTATAGCATGGGTGAATTTGAGGAGTTCCCTCTCCTAGCCTTTGTTTAGACTGAGCTCCTTGAGGCAGTGACTCTATGTCTATACTCCAAACGAAGGTGTGATTGGAGCAGGGGTCGGCATACCCATGCCAGCTTTGATCTAGCCAGCACGGGTAACAATAGCAATTAAGACGCAGCAGCACGGACCCTGGTACGGACACTGTATACATACCTAGAGTCCCCGGTCGGCTTGAACAGAGGCAGTTCGCCCGTGCTGCCACGTCCTCACTACCACTCTTATCCATGCCAGCTAGATTAAAGCTAGTGGGGGTATGCGTACGCACGTTTCAATCACACCTTCATTTGTAGTGTAGACATATTCTGCCTCTGCACAGTGCCTAATACAATGGGTCTCCAATCTCAGTAGGCGCTTTCAGGCTAATTTATAATCTTATCATGCAAAATGGAATGATGTTGCAATGCAGCTTGTTTTACAGGGTAGACATTAAAGGGGGTAACTTCAGCTCAAATTTGGTGCAAAGCAGCCTTTGACACGTGGACATCTTTCCATGAAATGAAAATAATCTTAGAAAACTAATATGCTCCTGCAGTGATTGCAATGCTGCTGAACATGGGTTGGAGCCATCAGAGTGTCTTGTTATAAAGTAAAAGAAAACAGCCTTTCGTTCTCTAAGTTGAGCAATGCAGAAATTAAACAGTACCAGAAGCATAAACAAGACTTCAAAGTTCTTTAATTTTATCATAATCTAAGGTAAGGAAATGAGTTTGTGCAAAATGAGAATTACAAATATTTACTGTCTACTCTCTTTTTACATCATGCAAACTAACCTATGGAACTCACTGCCAACACATATAACTGAGGATAGGAACTTACTAGGAGAAAAGAGGTAGATCTGTAACTGTGGATTTCCTTATTCAGGCACAGCTGATAATTGTTGCCGTGTGCCTGGAAGCATGAGGGTTTATATTCCTTGAGCATTTACTTTAACAGACGTTGGGCGTGTTAGGAAGACACTCACCTTATGATCAGGTTATGCCATAACTTCCCATTCCTTGCACTTTTCTCTGGCACTGGCTGGTGCTTTTCAATGGCTATTAGCCAAGATGGGCAAGGATGGTGTCCCTAACCTCTGTTTGCCAGAAGCTGGGAATGAGCGACAAGGAATGGATCACTTGATGATTACCTGTTCTGTTCATTCCCTCTGGGGCACTGTCAGAAGACAGGATACTGGGCTAGATGGACCTTTGGTCTGACCCAGTGTGGCTGTTCTTATGTTCTTATGTGCTTGATGCTTCAGAATCAGGTACTGGGCCAAACCGACACAGGTCGGATCCAGTGTAGTAAGTTCTGTGTTCTCCCACTGGCAAGAAGGGGAAGTGAGTAAAGAGTAGGCATGGTTGCTGCTGACGTCTTAACTGACTATTTCTAGACTGCTTGAGGTTTAGTTTTCTTTAAAATAGTCAAAACTCCTGACTCTCAGACTTAAGCATATCTGTATAAACAGAGTGTTAGAGCATTTGATTATAACACGAGGGGATTTCCTTGGTTCTGTTTCTCTGTGGACCAACACTCACATGTTCAACACCTCCATCCCACTGGCTCTAAACAAGCTAACGTTTTGCAGCCTTGGTTCAGAGGTGGAGCGGTTGTGGAATCCATACATTCGTTACCCTAGCACAGGTCTGTTAGGGGGAAAGAGAGGCTGGCTAGGAGAATTATGGCTGTGGAGGGCACAGTTGACATGTACTCACCAACAGGTGTCATGTGCCTCCCTGCATAGCTGCTCACCACAGTGCAGTGGTCACAGGGCTCTGGCTATGCCCCCTCTGTAGAGGTAAATGGTACTAATAGAGCTAGTAGCCTGGATGTACTGGCTATCAAATTATGGCTGCATCTTGTGCACAAAGTGCTAGAGGAAGGAGGCACCCTGTTCCCTTGTGTCCTTGCACTGGTGCGGCCTCAAAATGCTTACACAACTTAAAATTCACAGGAAGGTTTTGCAGTGTTTCCTAAAGACAGTCAGATTCCGGTTTTGCTCATCTGGGAGTTTGTTCCAAAGTTAGATCCTATCAACTAAGAATGTCCCCAGTTCTCATATGCTTTGGGCTGAGCTTTGGGATCTGCATCTTCCCAGAGAAATACAGCTGTCCTAGTAGTTCATTTATAACTCTGGCTTCATTGTAGCTGGGGCATGATCCATTAATTGTTGGAGTCTAATAGCTGCTGCTTTGGCCACTGCTAGAGCCTGTCTGCAGACTAAGGAAACCATCACTGCACTGGTACACTTGGGTAACACTGTCATGCCTCATTTCTCAGCCATAAGGGTTAGAATCAGCTTCAATTTAGAAGAAAAATAATGGTTTGTCTGTCATTGCATGACTGGGACCCACCGACCCAGGCACTTGTCTGCCTTAATTCAGCCCTCTGCACAAGCCACAATGAAGGCCCTGGATACTTTGGCTAACTGAACCTAATTTCTCTTGCAAGGCTCCTGGGTTCAGCAGCGTAATGGAATCTTTTGAGGCTGCTTAATTTTGATTTGATATTAATGAATTAAATATGGACATTTAACTTGTGCAGTCACCTGTCTTGATAAATCCACACTTACGCTGTCCCCAGATTACCAGAAGTTTTGCTATACTAAACCAGAGATTGACACCTATTTCTCTTATAAAAGCTTTTTTATTTTTTCCTGATGGGGTTGGGTGCACTGGGGGTTTGGACACATTGAGAGGCAGGTTGGGAGCATAGGAAAGGCAGATTAGGAGAAACATCCAGCTAAAATGAACGGCACTGAAATTAACAATGAAAACTGAACTGTAATCTTCAGGTTTTAGAGTCAATGCCCCATTTTGGTGAATGGGGAAGTTCATACTTTAAGGATCTCTTTAGACATGGGGATATAACACTGCATCAGTTCACTTTGGCTCACCCTTCAAGGCTTTCCTCACAGCCAGAAGTGCTTATATTCTAGAGCATGAGTATGAAACAAATAGTGGAGAGGCATGGGCTCTCCTGGAATAGGAGGCTCTGGCTGTAATACTGACAGATGCTTTGGTGCTGCCAGAAGGCTGAGTTTTAGTGTTTGCTATGTTGATTCCTTCTCTCCAAGCACAATCTGCTAAACTTCAGGCAAAAAGCTTCCTTCGTGGAAGTTAAAGGAGAGGAGGTCAAAACTGGGCTTGCAGAGGAGAGGATCTGAAGCCTGAACTATGGGGTTGCTGTTGTGGCTCCATACTGTAGGCTCTGGGGGACTGAGCTGACTCATTTCAGCTACACACACGCACATGCCGCCCAGGCAGTTTGCATGGCGCTAAGAAGCGAGCAAACGCCTGACCCCCATGAAGACCATGGTAGCTTCCCGTAAGTCTTGAGGCACCTTGTCTAAATAAAGATGTTTCTTTTTCTAGGTGTGCTATATTTAGCGCCGACTCCTTCTCCTGAGCATTTAACTTATAGGACACACTTACAAATCTGCAAAGTCCCTGTCATCAATTTGAATTCAGTTTTCACCCTAGGGGGACTTTTTTTCCCCATTAGACTCTTTAACTCCCCCCCCCCCCCTCCCCCCCCCCCCCCCCATCTGAAAATTTCCACCTGTGACTTGTCTCACTCAAAACAGGGCCGGAAATCCCCCTCTCCCCTGCAAGGGTGGCTCGAGAGAATGGAAGAGCTACTACTCGGATTTTAGAACAGGAAATGCAAGTACAAGTTTAGCTATCCTTACAGCTGTTCTGTGAATGCAAATGCCACTTGTTCATTCTCTCTGCATCTGCTCTCCTAATGTCCCATCAGGTTCTGCTTGTTTCACAAATTAGAAGACACGAGAATTTGCTTCTCTGCTCCAAAACTGAGGTAAGATTCTGTCTGCAGAGCTTAATACTTCTCTCTGCTTTCACCTTGCATCTGCACAGGAGCCCCTGGGGGATGCGACGTGCTGATTGTGTACGCCAGGGATGCCAGTGAATGGTGTCAGTACCTTCAGAACCTCTTCTTCTCGTGCCGGCAAGTCCGAAAGCAGTGGGTTCTGAGCTACGAAGTGGAGTACGGGGCTGCCATTCCCTGGGAGGAGTTCGACCGATTCAGCAGCAGCCGATGCATCATCGTGTTGCTGTCTACCGAGCTGGTGCAGAACTTTTACCTCCCTGACGTCCTTGGGAGCCTGCAGGAAGCTTTGAGGCCCCCGCACAAAGTGGTCAAGCTGTTCTGCGGAGTGGAGGATTGTGATGACTATTTAGGGTTTTTCAAGGACTGGGCCCAGTGGAAAGAGCTCACCTATGATGATGAGCCAGATGCCTACATTGCAACAGTCAAGAAGGCTATTTCAGAAGGTAAGGTGGCAGGCTGGGATTCATGGCTCTTTGGTCGGGGGAAGGAAGGGTGCATGTTATTACTGATCCCTCTTTGGAGCTGTTCACATATTCTTCTGAAATATAAAAATAAAGTCTGGCCTATAATCCTCTGGAAATTCGGGAGCTCTCCAGACCCATTTTCCTCCACCCCACCCACCAGCTCCATGTCAACAAGCTGCAAAGCATTTGGGAATTTGGATGGCATGTTAGCTATTAATACTTGAGGGTTGCCTGTGTAATGGGATGTGCTGTCGAATGTTTGGGAAGCTAGCATGTCTTCAGAGCTCTGTCCATTCTTCACTGCAGTGATACTGACCCAGGCTCATAAAAAATAGGAGGCTGCACTGCTAGGTTAGCTTGTCCCCCATATAGGAGCCAATGTATGATTGTCCTCTACAGCAGTGGTGCCCAACCGTATTACATAGGAGGGCCACATAAACCTAAGTACGATCTTTTGTGGGCCAAACAGATTCTATATATTTTAATAAGATGTAAAGTCACCTGTATTGATTTATATTTTAAGTTCAGCTTTTTTTGTATGTATTTAGATAGGTTGTTTCTGTGTACAGTGTTGTCTGTTTACACACTTATGTAAACTAAAATGATGTAAACGTGCCAACAAAAAGTTAATGAATTGTCCGTTAGTATATTGTGTTGAAGCAGGCCAGGGGCCTTATGAGATGGCCCGTGGGCTGTAGGTTGGGCACCCCTGCTCTACAGTATATTGTCCAGTACTCTCCTTTAAATCATAGGTGCAACAGCATTGGAAAATCTGGGCAATAGAGAAGACACCAGCACTTGCTACAAATCCACTGCAGGTGTATTTAGCATAGTCATAGCAGTTCAAAATAGCACCTTGATGCCTCTGGCACTATGTTGAGCCAAGCAGTCTGAAATGACCAACCCCCCTTTCAGTTCACAAGAGCTAGAGATTCTTTAAGTGCAGAAGTGGTAATGGACTCTAAACTAGAGAGGCCTGAGCCACAAAGTTCTGACTAGGTCTAAACTTCCCCAAACTCTGGGGATCTTGATAGGAGAGAGCCCTGAACAAGTTTTTATGGACCCAAATCATAGAAACTGTTGTGGGCTTTTGTGGTCAGACTACGGCCTAAAGTCAAGGACAGTGCCACATGGTGGCTAACTCAGGCCCAGTGTTACAAGGTGCTAAGCACCCTTCTCTCCCAGTAATCTCCATGGCTGTTGAGCGTCATTGGCACATCATAGGATCGTAGGGCTTATCTACACTAAAAAGTTCTGTCTCTTTGATTATAGTGGTTAAAGTTATAATTCAAGCAGTACAACCTCCTAGTGTAGACAGTGATACTAGTGTACAGGTATCTTACACTGGTATAACTGTTCCCATACAGCAAGGAGAGTAACTATACCAGTAAGTCATCTTTACACAGGTATAACCATAGCTAAAGCCATAGTCACAGACTGCGTTCCTCAGACCACTGCTCAGGCCACAGTGGAGTGCACACACTAGCCCAGTTTTGGACCCTCTGTTGAAATCCACAGAAATCACTTTGGATTCAAAATTGATAGGCTAGATATGGGGCCAAGGTAGAAGTTGTTTTTCTAAACTTGATGTGAATGGGGTCAAAGGCAGCTAAATTATTGCACCCTGAAATTAGAGACGTTACCAATTGTTTTGCCATTCTGCATCAAGGAAAAGCAGGAGACAGAATTTAGTGTAGCGCCTTCCCCTGGCTGAGTGCAGCACCAATATTTAGCTGATGAAATTGATTTCCAAAGTCACTATCTCTGTGGGTTTTGGACTGTCGGTACAGATTATTAGCTCCAGCAATCTTACATTAGCATGTCAGAGCTGGAGAACAATGACCTCTGAATGGGGGCAGGCAGGAGCCTCTAGATTCTGTTACGCAGAGATTGAGCTCAAGGTGCAACCTGACTGATGGGGCGGAATGTTTATGGGGGGGTGAAGGGGACAATATTAATTACAAGGCCTGTAATTACAAGGCCTAATTACAATAGCTCTCCAAAGACTTGCTGGAGTTTCTCCTGTCCTGCAATGGTACAGAAGCAAACAGGAAGGGGAAGGAGCTACTCCTACTTATCTCTTCTTCCTTCCAAGTGCCCAGTTCTCCTCATTCTTCCCCCGACCCTTTGACCCAGCATTTTGAGGGAGTGGCAAGGTGACCGGGGAAGAGGTGGCTTCTGTAGCAGACAAACCTGTGATTCTTAGCAGTGGGACTCCCTCTTGTCAAATCATAGAAGATTAGGGTTGGAAGAGACCTCAGAAGATCATCTAGTCCAACCCCCTGCTCAAAGCAGGACCATGCAAGCGCTCTTTTTTAATCCCCTTGGACATACAGCATATAGATGGAGACACCCAAAGGGAGAACAGGAGGCCAACATCCTCATCTGAGGCATCTGCCTTCTCCTCCTCACACCCTGGAGTTGTCTCACTTTGGACAGTAGCCAGGCATTAAGTCTTGGGAGTGGGGCATAAGGACCCTAGGCTTGGGGCGAGGGTGATAAGGGGAAGTGTGGGCTGTGGGTGCAAAGAGGGATGTGGGGATGGGGAGAAGCAAATGTGCTGAGTGGGTTGGGGCGGATCCGCTCACCCCGGTGGAGCCCTACTCCCATGTGCCTCCCAAGGTCATTGGGAGACAGGCTCCCATCACCAGGAGCATAGGAAGTGTGCTCTAGTGAGGCTGCCCTCCTGCAGCCCTGAGGAAGAGGGAAACCCACAGCCTCTTCCGCACTCCTTGGTCTCACATTATAGCAGCTATAAAAACCCCAGGGAATGCTCACTAGCAATCAAGGTGGAATTAAGGTTAAAGACGCTTGAGTCAATCAAGTGCAAATTACAGATTTTAACTTTGTGGAGAAGGTTTTAAATACCCCTGTTTGCTGGAAACCATTCAGGTTATGGTTCACCAAAGAAGGGACTCACCCACTGGAACTGTGTCCCAGAGACACCAACCTCAGTGCATGCAGAGTATTGAAAGTGTGTGCCAACGGCCTTGTCTCGTACAACGCGGGAGTCTCACTACCCTAACTCTCGCTCTCCATGCAAGCACTCTAGTGTAATCATCTGGGCACACACAGGACACATGTGGAGACATGCTAGCTCTATCTAATTAGTTGGATACCTGGCTGGCACAGGGAATTGGGGATGATCTTGCAAGGTGCCGAGAACCTGCTGGGAAATGCCAAATGCCCTTGACACCTTTCAGGACCAGCCTCTATGATGAAGTAAAGGATTCCTTTCTGTATTCTGCACTATCTAATGGGGAACTTGTACAACTCTTTGTGGGGGTGTATGACCATAAAGTAGCAACTGCTATACAAGTACATTTCTTGTTGGTAAAATACTAGGAGTCTGACTTTTTCAAGTTCAACCTTAATTCTTGCTCCATAGATTACCTTTCAATGTGACAGGCAAACGTACTGAAATCACTGATACTTGCCTGCAGCCTTTAGTACAATTTAATGATGATTTTTAAGGCAGATCATGTTTTAACTGACTTTTTTACATAATCAAAATGGTCCATACTTTTTTTAGTTGCCTTACTTGAACTCAAATGCATATACCACCACTTGGCTTTATTCTACCTTTGCTAAATATTTTGTCAGAAGAAAAGATAGTTTTAACTATCGAGTATTTTATTTATATAGCTCTCCTCAGGGAGTCTCTCCTAGTTTTCTCAAAGCAGTATAGTATCTGCTACGCTGGCTTTACTGGGTTCATTTTAACGTTAGAGTTACAGAAACCCTACTCCACTGAGTTCTAACTTGCGTGATGGAGTTTGGGGCTGTTGGGGGTGCATGGTGGGAAACAGTTCTAAAGGACTCAAGACAGGGTTCCTGTCAGCCTGATAGTACGAATTGTAAATCTGTCCAAGGTGTGCTTGTTTCAGGGCAAGAAATGTTTATCTCATGTAAAGTCTGTGAATTACCAGGAGACCAGCTGCTCTAATGTTTATTTCAAAAGGGAAGAGATCCCCAGGTGTACAATAGTACATAGTTCCTCTTTGGGTGAAATGGTGAACTGCCTTTCAATTGATTCTACAGTGTCACAATAGAATCCGCCATGAGGTTTAGGTGAAGTCAATTCTTAGGTAATTGACTTAAAGTGCATTTTGAGAACTGACATCTTCCCAAGCGAAACATGGGGTAGATACATAGTCCATGCCCCCTAGTGCTAGATGCCACACTGCCTAGCAGAAAGGGTGGCCTTGTGGTTAAGGCATTGGCTGGGCCTTAGAAGAACTGGGTTTGACTCCAGTCTCTGCAACATGCTTCCTGTATGATCCTGAGTAGGTCACTTAACCATTCCGTGCCATGGCCTACAATTTTTTACTGCTGTTGTGTCTCTTTCCCTACCCTGTCTTCTATTCAAATTGAAAGCTTTTCAGGGCAGGGACTCGCGGTTTGCCCTAGAAGAATGGGCTCTGATGTTGGTTGAGGCCTGTAGGTGCTATTGCTATAGTTATGGGTGCACTAGAAATGTACCCATGTCTCTGACACACCTGCACATGCTCACAGCACTGCAATGGCAGCATCAGCATAAAATGAAAAACTAAAACCATGGCAGAGTAATTAGGGAAAGCTTGAACTGTCTGTTAACTGAAAATTCGTGAGGGATTGATTGGCACATATAATAATGAGCCTCACAATGACAAGTAACTGGCAGCAAACTATCTGTCGGCTCTAGGGCAGTTTTTCTCTACCTTTTCGATACCAGGGACTGGCTTGCTGCCTTCCATGTGTGTCCGGGAGATTTCAGGGACCGGCGCCGGTCCATGGACCAGTTGTTGAGAAACATTGTGCTAGGGTAAGAAGGGCTGTCAGCATGTTCATGTTGTGTTTTGGGGACTGCAGTATTGCTTCAAGTGCAGCTGTCAGAATGTGATTCCGTTTGAACAGTGCTGCAGACTACCACCTGTATCATCACAGGCCGTGAGCTACTTTAACTGCTCTGCTAGTTCTGTTGAAAGTCAGAAAAGGAG